ATTACCCTGGACTATCCTAATCCCCGAAAACAAAAAACGAACCAAAACAAGCCAGCGTAAGATGGTATTACATCAATTAAGTAGAAACAGGGAATGGAAATAAGAAAAAAGAACAAAAGAACAAAAAACCCAGACAATTCCAAATAGCACTCTCAAGAGTACGTTCCGTGGAGAAAGGAAAGGGCCTCGGGGAAATTAGACCCACGTCCGATCTGGAGAAGTGGACATCCCCCAAGCACGATTGATAGCCGTTGGATCACGACATTGAAAGGCGTTCATATGAAAAAAAAGGCGTCAAACATCCAAGTTGCATGACGTGATTGAAGTGCGTATTCGAGAATAGCACGGAATCAATAAAACAAACATAGTATATGGAAGATCAGAAGCACGAGGTGGGGAGTTTTGACAAAAGGAACGTGGAGATGAAAACTCGTGCATCCGCCCCGAAATTTCAGCCGTCAGATTCGTGAGGGAAAAGAGGGAATCTTTCTCCATCCCTTATGCGGCAACAGGCTCACGCTCCTCTTCGCGGCCTCGCTCATCACCCTCAACGGTGCTGACGCCATCATCACCGTCCTCGTAGCTGGGGTGCTGGTCAGCTGGGAGCCAAGAGTCACGATCCCCGGGCAAGGGCTGATCCTGTCCAGACAGATCCACGCCCTCGCGGTTCTTGCCGAGGTTAGAGCGGTGGCGCTGGGAGAGGGTGCGGGAGCGCTGGGAGAGACTAGACTTGACGACTGCCTTGGAGGAGACCCAGTTGGTGAGGGCATCTTCGCAATCCTGGATAATGGCCTTGGAGGCATCGTAGCCGTCGTAGGCATGGCGGGTCTCGCCGGGAGTGACGGGGGTGTCGTCGATCAGGTCGAGGAGGTGCTTGCCGTAGCCGGCGACGATGGCAACCTTCTCGCAGTGCTCGCGGAGCGCATCGAACTGGTACTGGAAGGCGGCCTTGACCTTCTCGCGGGTGATGTTGGACAACTGGGCCTCGGCGACTAGGGACTCGGCTTCGGCGCGGACGAGTTCCTGCTCCAGGACGACGATGCGAGGCGAGTTGGGGTCCTTGTACTTCAGCTTGGCGATCTCATCGGTGATCTTCTGCTTGCCTGGATATCAAATTCAGTTAGTTAATAGTTAATGCTGGAGAGTTGGGCGGCTAAAGCTGAAGCCGGGAGAATCTTACGGTCTCGGCTGGGCTGTACGGAAGCCTCGATGTTGCGGATGCTCTTAATGGTGACACGGTACTGGTCGTAGCGGTCGACGAACATATCCTCCAGCTCGCCGATCTCGTAGATCAGCACGCCGAGCTTGTCCGTCACATCCGACACATCCTCATCACACGCTTCACCCCAGATGGAGAGTTGTTGCTATGGCGACTGAGTCAGCTTCCAATTTGTCCAACCCATCATCACAAATTCAGGGCCATCAACATACAGCGACTTCCATGCGCTCCCGGGCGACGAGCTCCATGCTGCGCATAGCATTCTTCTCCATCTTGACAAGCTGCGCCAGCTTCTTGGCGAGGTCGGGTCCGAAGGCACCGGCGGCGTTCTTGCGGAAAGCATGGCCTATTCGCAGGATGTTAGCAAGTTCAATCGTTCTAACAATTTATTTGACGACTGGTAGTCCTCCAATTCGGCTGTCGTCGCTCTCGGAGGTGGTACGGAGGGAAGTCGATGGCGGCTCAATTTTAGGCAGCCTTCAACCTGACAAACTCCGAACACCATCAGGGATTTCCAGTCGTCGAAGCCGATCGCAGAAATTATCTCAATCGCACTCACCGATTCCGCCTTTCCCTAGCCATCTCCCGGTCTTGGTTGTGGACAATGGTGGTGGCGGGCTCTCGACCTGCGAGGCGGTCGGGGCGCGCGACTGGCGCATGGAATAGGTGCGATGCATGGTTTGGACAGCGAAATTGGAGATAGGAAGAAGATTGTAGAGACGTAGAGATTCTTGTTCCTGCAGAGAAGAAATCAGAGAAAAGAAAAAGACTTCGCAGTGCCTTGCGCAGTAGTGACGTGAGCTTAAAGAGGGGCCTTTTTTCTTTTCTTGGAGTACGTACTTGACCTGGATGTGACGAAAAAGAATATTCGACTGCAAACGGACAGGGGAGCCCTGGAGATATAGGTCTCTTTTTTCAATGACTTGAAGAAGTGAAGTTCTCCTGGAAGCTCTCGGGAAGTGACGTCGACTATTTTTTGCCCAAAGGGGACTTCCTGATCGGGGATTGGACGGACTGGGGGGGGGCGGAAGGGGAAATTAAGACGCTAAGAGGCTAAAAGAGTCTTAATTGCAGTAAACCAGCCTCTACTAGCTCCTCCTTTTACGCCAATAGTCTGTCGATCTTGTTGAGTTGCATTTCGAGTCTTCACAATCTACGTCATCGACATCCCCCTGATGTCATGAAGTCTAAAACGTTACATTTGATACTTTCTTTATATTTGTGATATCAATTGATGGTTATATACGGAGTACCACGTCTGAAGGCCACTGGATTCCCCCTTTTGAAGCTTTGATACCCCTTTCTGGTATTGAGGAATTGCAAGTACATACGTAAACGCACACTACATAGAGCTACCATTGGTGCCCCAGTTCCACTGCTGATCGCGGAGATCGTGGAACTCCTGTTCGTGGGGAAAACCCATGTGGTCTCGGCTTTAAATTCCACTCATTGGAGCCTACTTACAGTTGAAGATCGTGACAAGTCCAAGTGAAATCTGATCAATGTAGTTATGGATGAAATTAAGAAGTCATCGTCCTTTGCGTAAGACATCGGCTAGTCAATCCAGTGACTAATCGGCCAAGACGTCCATTCAAACGGCCTTTCCACTCGGTCTCTTCTCATACTAATTGTTCCTCGGAGGTCGACTTTTCTGACCTTTGCCCAATAACAAGCACAACCCCGGCTAACAGGGAGATCCTGTGCAACCTTCACAGCTCGGTGGCGAGAGTGTGTAGGTTGGTCAAGGCATTTTGAGATCAAGGTGGTCTAAGATGGAGATCAGCGACCGTGTTTTCAAGCTAGTCGCATCAGATTATCGTTGACCTTGAATTTCTTTGAATGGATAAAAGGAGAGTGGAATAGAGACGTAGTGCCTGAAGAGAGAGAAAGAAGGAAAAGGAGGAAGGAGCAGGGAACATTTTATATTGGCGATCTCACTTGCCTCAACCTGTAACCTCGCTAGCACTATAACGATCCACTTATCCATGTTACCCCTATATACCGCATAGCGAGTATATAGCCTTCGTTGACCTAGGTTCTTTTCGAGCAATTCCTCTCTTATACCAAGTCTGCTTTAGGAAATGGCTCTGGGCAGTAGACCAGTTCCTCTAATACTTTGCCAAACGAGCCCCCTTGGCAATATAAGGCCGAGGAGGATGAAACTGAAAGTTCCGAGGATGACAAACCGACCACAGAGTTGTGGCTGGACAGTCGGCCAAAAGACAGCATTCTCGGAGAAGGAAATGCATTATAAGATATGTTGCCTCATACCCTGTTGCTAATTCCAATGTCTTGTATGTCTTACCTGCTTTGAGACTGTTTTCTTCTAGCGGACTGTTCAGCGACGCAGCTGCTAGCTCTGTGGTCGGTTCGACATTCTCGGAATTTTCAACTTCGTCGTCCTTGGATTCACTCCCCCAATCTCCGTCTCTGACTTCTTCGACGTTTGCAAACGGTATGTGTTTAGCCACACTTCTTGAGAGTATACTGGTAAGGATACACAAAATGCTGAGAGGGGTATTTCGTGTCAGCCAAGAGTGCAGTCACTCCATCTTGGACTTCTTGTACCCTCTGGACTGCGGCATGTATGTATGTCTTCAGGGGATTCCCGCGAGATCCTAGTCAGCACTTTCGTTGTCGACAGGTTCGCCGTCCTTGCCAACAAAAGAATTGGTAGGTGTAGAATAGGCACTATAAACCAAGACTAGTGAGGACTCTAAATTTGCTAAGGAAGAAAACGCACTCATGGAGTGTAATAGACACTATGGACAGTCTGAATGGAAGTCATGAAGCATCGTTGGTGGTATCCCGGCATAATATTTCGTATAGACTAGGCTGACCTGTTAGAGTACCATATGGAAGACGATTAACCTGATGGAGCAGCGAGGGAGACGTAGTGAGGGAAAAGTATCGACCATGGCAAATCGGAGAAGAGAGGAGGAAGGAAGAAGAGAGCAGGTCGAAAGAAAAGAGTGCTTTTCAAGCAAGCATACCTTGAAACCAACGTAGGTGAGCGGACAGTTCCTCCATACAAATGGAGGAAGAATATAGTGGCTTGGTTCCTACCTAGGACTATAGAATTCGTTGGCTTCTGAGGTTGCCCCCTTACCCTCCACGCGCAATAATAGACCCTCAAGACCATATAACCACAACTAGAAAGGACCTGCCAACGTGCGTTATAAAGGCCGTTGCAGAGTACCGCGTAGACCAGGCAGAACGGGCTGGTGATCGCGCCTGTTATATATCAATAGGGGCGAGATAGAAGGGGTGATTTAGTACAAGTTCTCTGGTGTCGAAGCTATGGAATCAGGAGAATAAAATATGACAGATTTATATGAGACAGGTAAATCAGGGGAAATTTGGATTATGGCGGTCAGGAAGTTGTCTTTGTCTTTAGTATTCAATGGTAGGCTGCATACCCAGGCCAGGTATGCAGCCCTCATGCATGTGATTCTCGGCTGTTTGCACTGTAAGACCATGACTGGGCTCATTCAACAAACATTTCATTGTCCATCTGTTTGATCCTCAGTAGATAGACCAGTGGTCAGCTGCTCCCACTCTCTGTTCTGTTTGCAGTCGCAAAAGGGCTGTATCGGAATGAGCGATTATTATTCTTCTCCCTCCTCACCTCCCCCTACCTACATAATGTCTTCATGTACGACACTAAGGCTAGATTGTTGTATATGGATTGCATTGTAAATACTGGGAATGAATACTTGTCTTATTATGTACATAGTATGTATGCTGTCGATGCGAGGACCTCAATCCGCCAATCCCCATGTCATGACTCAGGAGAGTTGGCGCAATGGGTCTTTCGCTTCTTATTTGTTCCAGCCTTGGCTTTGGTGTTTGAGCCACCTCTTTTTCCTTTAATTTGCGAAACAGAGGCTTCTTCTTCTTCTTCTCCTTCTCCATCCCCAAGGGCTGGCTCGCAGGATCGCGAGGTTCCGCCTGTCTGAGCTTCCTGACGTAGTCGACTAAATGCCTTTTCCATGCGGCTGGGTCCACCTGTACGAAGGCGAGGCGCAAATGCACCCGCTCCCTGTGGACCTTGCATGAATTGTGTGATGTTGGACTGTGTGCCTTCCTGGTCTCGCCGATTCATGTCGCGAATGACCGGTACCAGGACTTCGTCCGTTCGCTCCTGGCTCCAGCCGATTGTGGTCATGAGGAAGGTTCGTAACCCATTCAAATCAGGGACACCCCATTGGAATTGGGAAGGGTCGTCGTCGACCGTGGGTTCCAGGTATGCCTCGTCAACTTTGGTATCAGGGAATGAAGGAGGCAGGAAGATCTTGGATGCCTTCTTTCGAAATTTCTTTCGGAAGGCAAAGTGAGCATCTTCTGCATTATTCGCACCCGTTTGCAATTGAGTCCACCAATCGCGGAACTCTTCGAGGCTGGAAAACTCGGTGAGTATCTCTAGGGCTGTGACAGGACCAATCCCGGGAATTCCCTCTGTGTAATCGCTGCCCAACAGGTGGGCAAAGCTAATAAGCTTCTGTCGATGGAGGGCGTACTCCTTCTCCAGGTCGGATGTCAAGTAGCACTCGACGAATTTACTTTGATTGAACATGTTCTTGTAGATTCGCGTTCCCCCAAAGAGGAAGATATCACTGTCATCCGTGACAATCCCGTCCACAAGACCTAGCGATACCAATTTGGCGCACTGCGCTTCGGCTTCCATAGGCGCGGTGATGTAGGGTAATCCGAAGAGCGTCAAGAGCTGTTGGCACTCATTGATCATAATAGTGGTCACCTCGTCTGCATCGCGACGCTCGTTTCTCTGCTGAGACCGTAGTTGCTTCAGCTCTTGCTCGTAGTCAAAGGCTTCCTGGGTAGGGGCAGCAGAATTAAGAGTATTGGCAAATCGCGCATGCTCCTCGCCCTCAGCCGCAAGCTGCTTGAACAGCTCTTCATCCTCCGGGTCACTGTAGTCCGCTTGGTCCTGCACGAAATTTTCCACTCGGTCGACCTCTTCGAAGAGCTGAGCCTGAGGCTGGGCCGTTTGATGGGGTACAACAGTGATCTCAGGGCCTTGGGTGGGCACCCGAGGGACAATATCTTCGAATTCTGGCGGAGAAGGATGTTCTCTGCGTGGGGACGGCTCATCAAGCTTTGCATTGATCGAGGCTGGAGCTGGTTCACTCGAAGGCTTCTCATCCAGAGTTGTAGAAATCTCATTGTAAATCCTTTCAATGTCCTCCACTCTTTCAAGTTGTTTGGATTTCTCTTCCTCCTCCACTTCCTCCTCTTCCTCCTGCTCTAGATCAACAACTTCCTTGGTGGCGGAAATTTCGTCTACATCGATAATGTCCGGCGAGCGACGATTGGACAGGAACAGATGATCTGGCGCCGCAGGTTTCTCATCATCCTTTTCAGGATCTTCAACGGGATCAACGATGAATCCCGCATCTGAGGGCTCACCAACAAACCATGGAGGCAGTGGGTCGGTCTGTTTTGGTTTCTTTGTAGGCTCCTTCACGAAGCCCCCTGCATTCTCACCCACCTCGCCAGCTTTATCATTATCTTTCGTGACTTTAGTGAGTTTGATAGATTCAAAAGGGAGAGGACCACCGAATGGATTTGGTGCATATGAGGCTTTCTTCGAGACCTTTGTTCTTGCTATGGCAGCAGCAAAGTCCATTCCATCATCGCTCTCGGAATCAGGATCAGGTACCACCTGATGATAAGGAGCTGGTTCGACCGGTCCAGTGATGGGTATATCAGGCTTATCTTCGTCATCGACTGCTTTATTTGGTTGTAACGAAAGGGCGATAGCTCGTTCGAGGTCGTCGTCGTCGCCGTCAAAGAAATCATCAGGGTCGTTCTGCTGCTGTGCGCCGAGATTTTCCTCAGCTTCAACAAAAAGCGAGTCATTTTCAACCTCTTGTACACGATATTCGTTCACTGATTGTCGCTGTGAAGCATGAAGCGATTCTTGTATAGCCCTTCTCATGTCTAAATTTTCATCCGTTTCAAGTTGAAGCGACCGGTCGAATACACCCTCTTGGAGGAAAGGAAGTTTGGGAAGTCGGTTCAGACCTTCGATTGGAACGTCCTCGAAGTCATCCTCGTCCGACACCTCGTCCTCATCAGATAGTATCTCAGGTCGATCTAGATCGATGGGCTTTTCCTCGTGGCCTTCCCTGTTTCCCACAACGCCTAGGACCCAGCCACCTTCATGTTCGCGATCCTTGACTAGCACGTATTCCTTGCCACGTTCTCCTGCGATACGCTGCCCAGATTTGTAGAGAGCTTCGTCTCCATTCATGCCGTTTATATTCATTAATCGTTGCGTAAGGTCATTACGTTCTGCGACACGGTCAATTTGAAACTTGGAGAATGCCATGCGGTCGGGAAACATGGTATCTAGCTGCTCTTTCGAATAGCCCATTCGAAGTCGGCTCCTTAGCCTCGCTGCGTTCAAGATGTTGTAGCGATCAGTGGGGGGCAGACTAAGGAAAAACGTGCTGTCAAAATCGATTTTTGAAAAATCGTAAAGGTTGATATCTTGGCCCTGGTGGAACTGTCTAGCATATTCCTCCAATTCCTCCTGGGACATTATGCGTGGATCATTTGGTGCTCCCATATCTTGAAGTGAGACGTCCAGGTTAGGTAGGTGGTAGGCATCCTTCTTCTTGAACTTGCGACTTTGTTGCTTTTCTGCCTCTGTCATAAAAGCCTCGTCTGCGTAGACTGGAGCATCTGGCACCTCTTCCTCCTCTTGTCTCTGGCTCTTATTGCGCCGACGAGCGTCCTCCTCCTCCGCACTACGTTGCATTTGTACGGCGAGCAACTTCCCCGCGGTCCTCGCAGCATCTTCTCTGTGACCCTCGCGTTTCTTCTTTCGGCCAGCGATCGTCTGCCTTTTCATGACCGGGGCCCCGCCATCGAAGACGAAGACAGGCCGGATCCCGAAATACAGCAGCTTGCATATGCGGCGAAAGAATCCAACGATATGAGAATTTCGGAGCGCATTGCCTTCTTTGTCTCGCACCGCTTTCAAGAATTGATAGATCCAGATCGACGCGTCGACAGCTAGTCGTTTCTTGTTGAGCGTCTCGAGTTTGATGGGGCGAGCGCACGGCTGCACAACCGTCCAGAGGCCGGTGACACCCATGGCTAGTCAAAGGGGTATCAGATCATGAGACTTTATTGGGGAGGTGTCGCATTTTAGAGAGAATCCACATGTAGCGAGAGAGGTGCTCGCAGGTTGCTAATTAGCGAAGCGAGACTCGCCTGACAGGTGATGTGAGCACCGAGCCCCAACCTCAGGAGCGTCATTGTGCTCCCGCGCCTCGGTCGCGACATCACGTGGGTAATATTACCGCTTGTGGACTAGTGCCAGGGTTATATAATCACATCAGGGAACCTTAGTTATCGAAAAAAGTAGTGGGCTTTTTTCGGCGTCTGGTGGGATGTACACTTTTATCTGAGGAAATTGAGACATTCCGTGTAATTCCATTCTATGCTTAATGTGCATGGAATTTGGCAATGTCTCTATCGCTCGAGGTCAGTGTCGCCCTATAGTCAAAATGCTGTCCCGCTGACTCAAATTGCAGCATATTGATGCTTTTCTCCCGATAACAGCGTTGAAGACGATTGTATTGGGTGATAGACGATTCATCTTTCAAAGTAAAGGCACATTTTTCCGGGTGGTTGATGAATCCACTGGTGTTGTCACAGCACAAATCCAGATATTCAAAAGAAACAATATTCATGGTTTCATTGCTTTGAATCAACGACTACAGGATCATGATTCGAGTAATGTCCCAATAATCGTCTGGGGAGGTCGCTCAGTGCGAGCGGTTGCCGTCTTTGTAGCCTCTGACAATGAAGTGACGTTGTCAGCCTCTAGTGCCGAGTTCACTGTTCCAGATTGGATCATGAGTGGGTGCGCAGCTGCTGGAGGTGGCCATTACGGGGCATTTTTTATCACCGCGAACAATGTACTCCTGAGTCTTGAAGTGCGCGGCAGTGAGATGCCCGGGAGAAATACCATATCCATATATCAGCTAGCGACGAGTGTGAAGTCTATCCTTTACTCCGCCGATGTGATTGCGCTGTCTTCCTCCCATGTACTCATTGCCGCTGGTACCGTCTTCGGAGAAATCATCGTATGGTCGTGTTTCTTGAATAAGAATGGATCACACAAAGCTGATGCAATTGGCTCCATCCATCATTTCTTCACGGGGCATGACGGGTCAATCTTCGATGTCCGCATCTCTCCCCAGATTCCGTCCTTGAATGGAGGCCGGTCTGGTAGGATACTGGCCAGCTGCAGTGATGACAGAACTGTGAGAATCTGGGATATATCAGATTGTGAGCATAAGACAGCCCAAGATCATTCTGCATACTCCACAGACGGATTTGAATTGCGAAGCACAGGCTTTGGTCCTGTTGAGGCAGGTGAGGAGAGCGTTGGGTCTGAATCATGTGTGGTCCAGGCATTTGCCCACGTGGCTCGCATTTGGGGTGTCCATTTCAGGGCGATCAAAAATAATAACCAAACTCATATTGGGTTGGTTTCTCGTGGAGAGGATTGCACATGCGTTTTGTGGGACTTAAGTTGGCACTCATCATCCGCCGGGACGACTGAGTATCGGCTCAGCCAGACTTCTTCAATACAAACACATATTGGAAAGCACATTTGGTCTCTGGATCTTTGCAGAATTGGCTCTGAGACTGTGGTTTACACTGGAGGTGCTGATGGTGCATTGAAAAGTTTCCCCATCAAAGAAAATGACGATGAAAATCTGGGTAATGACTCTGGTGCTCCTTCCCAGCAACCATCCGGCTTGCAAGTAAAGGTGAAGAAGAAGCATTCCACAGTTGATGGGGCGAAGGCCTTTGCATTTGTCGCCCGAGACTGCCTTCTTCGCACCTCTACACAAGGTCAGATTCAGCTTGGATATGTCAACCAAGCAGAGGAGACTGCCATTACTTGGGAAACACTATGCGAAACACCTGACCTTGCTTCTTTTGCCGTCATGACTGCTTCGCCCCAAATGGGTTTAGCATTGATATGTAATTTCGGAGGGTTCGTTCGACTCTACAATCACGCTACGGAATCTGTCATCAACATCGCAGACGTCGGCAGCAGACCCCTTGGGTTATTCTTCCTTCAGACTTGCTCTTTCGAAACGGATACCCTGAATTCCCCTAAGAAAATCAGCTTCCTCGTCTGTTATCCTAGTGGAGAAGAAGTAACGCTCGTCAACGTCTCCGATTGGAACAGCGATCACCCACATGCCGAAATAACCACCTTTAGCCTACCATCCTCATTTGTGGTTTGCAGTGCGTCTTTCAACTTCGATGGCCAATATTTGATTATAGGATCAAAATTAGGCGCCCTTGCTATATACAACACCTCCGAGGCTGAGCCCGTCCTGGTCAAGCGACGTATTCATAGCCGAGAGCTTGTCAATCATATTAGCGCGGTGACGTCTGTTACAACGAGTGATACCACTAAATCGGACTTCTTATTGACCTGTGGGCGAGACGGAACTTACTGTCTCCATGAACTGCAGTTTTCTGGGAACGGAACAGATGCTGTATCCATGCAAACAGTGCACCGTACAGCATCTATAACCGGTGGGAACATCGAAGGCGCCTATTTCGATAAAGCGACTGGCGATTTCATGTTGTACGGATTCAGATCCCAAGATTTCGTCCTGCGCAATGAGTCGAAGTTGACAGATATCATATCCATTGCTTCAGGCGGCTTTCGCCGAGCCTGGGACTTCATCCCAGGAGACAAAAATAACAATGCTATGTTCACGTGGAAAGACGGATGTTCTTTGATGACTACCTGCGTACGAGCGGGTGCTAGTACTTTGCTTCGAGCTGGAGGCCACGGACGGGAAATCAAAGCGATGGATGTGTTCAACCCTACCGGTGGAGCTCGGCCTCTTTTCGCGACTGGTGCAGAGGACACTACTGTTCGTCTTTTCACGCCGACTTCCTCATTGGCTGCTAGTCCCTGGGGTAGCTTCGAGTGTCTGCGCGTCTTGGATACACACAAGTCTGGGATCCAGCAGGTGACCTGGTCCAAGAATGGAAGATACCTGTTCACCAGTGCTGCATACGAAGAATTTTTCGTGTGGAGAGTCCGCACCATTCCCATATTCGGCGTTGCTACGAAATTGATGGCGGCTAGTCCGAAGGACGACGTGAATTCAGATCTCCGGATACCTAGTTTCGATTTGGTAGAAGTAGAGGAAGTTGACGGGGAGCAGGGTTTCCTCCTATGCCTTGCTCTTTCGAACTCCGTTTTCAAGGTAAGAGTGGCTCTTTCCTTCAAATACCTGGGCCGATACTAACCTTCTCGCAGATCTTCCACTTTTCGCCATCTAATGGGGGCCAATTCACTCTCCTGGCTCGTGGAAAATACATGACCAATTGTTTGACCCAAGCCCACTTCTTGATCACGAGCTCTTCCGTGAGCCTTATCACCGCAGCGACTGATGGCTACTTCACACTCTGGGATCTAACAAGCACACTTGAACCATTCTACACAATCACACAATCCACTTTGAAGGCCAAGCACCCCTTCGAGGGCTCTTCCATCTCACCAGAAAACATCACATGCGAAAGTCGGTATCAAATTCATTCCAATAGCATCAAGGGAATGGAACTGGGTCCTATCTCTGACACAGCCACTGTTGTTGTGGCCGGAGGTGATGATAATTCTCTCTCCGTGTCCCTCTTACGAACACATCCATCCGGCACCGGCACAAATGCACAGGTAGCCACTGTTTCTATCCCCGACGCTCACGCTGCGGCAGTCACCACGGTCAAAGTACTCAATCAGCAGATCGCTCGTGATATTACATCAAATACAGAATCGATCAAATTCACTATGGCATCTTCTGGAAACGATCACAGAGTCAAAATCTGGTCTGTCGCCGTGGACCCTACACAGCCTGGTACCCAGGGGATTACCGTGCGATTCTTACTGGATACATACAGCTCCGTGGCTGATATATCATCATTGGGGCTTGTCCATGGGCCCGGCAATGGTCTCCTTGCAGAGAGCCAAATGCCTGAATCGGAAATAAATCAGTCGCGATTGGTTGTATGTGGTGTGGGCATGGAGATGTTTGCTGCCGAATCGAATCGAGCCTTGTCTGCATGATGCCGATTCGATGTCGGATATAGATAAGACTTGAATACAACAATATGAACATAGATGATACCACATGAGACTACAGACTTGGGTAAGAAGGATGACGATAGCAAACCCACCGGACAAGAGGAAGATACTAGTGAACTACTCGGGTAAGAGGAAGACAAAGGCAAATCAGGGCATGCGTTCTAGCTGCATGGCGGATCCGTTTCAGCGGAGGAAAGCCATACGACTGGTCAATATAGTATGTCCGGGGTTTTCGTCAGCTCAAACGAACTGTTCATACCCATATCTGCCCCGCAGTTTCGGGGAGTTCACCGTGCTTTGTACTAATATGGATGAGCCGGAGCGACCCTATTTGAGGAAAGGATTGACAAAAGCGGTTAGTTAGATGACAGTGTCGCGTTTTTTTTAATTTATTCGTCTTAGCTCTAGGGCTTGTTTAGTTGTAGTATGTGTGAAACGAAAACGGCATTTCTAAGACGGAATGAGTACATGTATGTATATAAGAAAAGAACTATGGACTATTTTCTTCCAACAGACTAGGCATTGCATATCCTCCTCATCATGAAGTATCTCATTAGTATGATCGCCGGCGCTGGACTGGCTGCTGCTGCTCCATTACAATCTCGCGCCACACACAGTTATTTCTTTACATTGTGGGCGATAAATTGTCTCCCCTATGCATCATCCGCTGGGAAAGGAGCTAACAAGCTATCCGCAGTGGCGATTCCTATACCATGACCAGTTTTGATGTCAGTGGCACGCAGCCAACTACTGACAACCCCATGGGGAACCCAGCACTGGGTGGGTTTTGTTCGCTCCGTGGCAAGCAGACTCGACTGATTAAAAGCGACAGGTACCGGAACAACCACTGGCGGCATCAACTGGGTGGGATACCTAGCTACTGTGAACAATGCCTCACGAGTCCTCAGCTACAACCTCGCTGTTGGAGGAGCGTCCCTCGACAATTCCCTTGTCAGTACCAATACCAAGGAAGATATGGTAACGCAAGTCGCCAGCTTCGAGACAGTATATGGTCAGAAGCCTGATACTGCACCATGGACTTCAGACAATGCAGTCTTTGGATTCTGGATTGGAATTAACGAGTATGGTCCCCTGGATCCCGACTAGCGACTAGACTGACACTTCAATTTACAGTATTGGTTGGGCTTGGTCAAGCAACGACGCCAACGTCCTGATTCCAAAGATCATGGCCCAGTATAAGGCTCAAGCTGAAAAGATCTACGCAAATGGTGGACGGAAGTTCATCTTCCTAAATGTCCCACCTACAAGCCGATCCCCCCAGATCGTCAGCCAAGGGACAACCGCTGCGGCCGGCCACGCTAAGTGGCTCGCGGCTTTCAACGCTGCCCTTAAAGCAATGGTCAATGAATTCATTGCGGACAACGGTGGCGTACGTTCCGATCTCTGATTATATGTATGGTCTTGCACAACTAATCTAGCTGCAGAGTACGACCGTTCTCTACGATACCTTCGCCTTCATGAATAAAGTCCTCGATGCCCCTACCACATATGGATTCACCGATGCTAGTTGTGTCAATGATGATGGTGCCACCTGTGTCTGGTGGAATGACTACCACCCAGGTCATGCTTACCACAAGCTGCAGGCAGCGGATATGAAAGAGCACATGCACTCTCTCGGTGCTTGGTAGACTAATCGGGATATTCCGGGAGAGGATATGTACCGGACTAAGAGTAGCAAGGTTCAAGTTTCGAATAGTTATGTATAAGCTGGCCTTTTTGGGGCGAATATCAAGATTTGAGCGCGATGGTTCCTGTTTCAGCTTGTAATCGACTTGCTATGCTTACTTAACTTCTACATTCGGTGTTCTCAAGTCTCCATGAATTACTACAGCGTATGTTTAAAATAAATTCGAATTCGTACTTGCATATGGTTAGAAAACTAATCAACTAGACTACATAGAGTATTCATGGATGTTACACCCCACAACCCCTGGGTATGATCCTACCACCCCTGCATGCCAGAAACGCCGATCAATACCTGAACCGCCGCGGGAGTGCAAAAATATCAATGCCCTTGAAACAAAGCGGTGCGTATTTAAGACACTTGTGCCTGAAGAAAGCTTCGTTGAAGCGGGGTATGTACGATATACAGTGGATAATTCTTCTAGCCTGGAGACTCGGGGACATTGCCTTCTTGGCTATCCGTTTCGCATGAGGTCGCCAAGAAGGTCTGTTTCTCACCATGATCCATGATTCTGTGGGTCCTCATTGATGGATTATTGTTGTTAGGTATTGTAATATCGAAGTTGCTGTACATCCCACCTATTCGACGTCAGGAACCTAATCTAGTCTCAAGGGCTGAATACCGTGTCGTTTTCTGTCACCAATCTCTAATTTCCGTGTCACTGTACTCGTTTGGAATGCCCTGCCAGTTATTCGACAATATACACTGAGACGAGAGCTATAAAATGCCCAAGTTCGCCCCAGTCGTTAGTACCATTTCGCATTGTTATCACATCACTCCTCCTGACTCGTCAATATGAGATTCGATCACATTGCCCTCCTCGCCGCTGTGGCCGGATCCGCAGCAGCGGCTCCTCCCAAGAATCATGCAAAAAGAGCTTCACCCTTCCAATGTTAGAGTCCATGAATTCCAAATATCTGACTATCCATTGACCAAATTCCCCATATAGGGTTCGGAACAAGCGAATCCGTCGCTGAATTTGGCGAAAATAACCTGCCTGGTGTCTACGTGAGTGAGCCAAACATATGTTGTCGAAGAATCCCAACTGATAAAGATCGGAACAGGGAAAGGATTATTACTTCCCCGATGCTAGCACCATCCAAACATTGATTGGAAAGGGAATGAACATCTTCCGGGTGGCCTTCAGGATGGAACGGCTGGTACCGAACTCCATGACAGGCGCGTTTGACGCCGCCTATCTAAGCAATCTGACTGCGGTATATATGCTGTGCCATATCCATTGTTTGGGAAAAAGAGGATACTGATCTAGTCGCAGACAGTCAAAGCCATCACTGATGCAGGATCCCATGCCGTGCTTGATCCGCACAACTATGGAAGATAGTAAGTGTCCCATCAAGCGAACGAGCGAATGGATCGAAGCTTATGAGGGTACTCAGCAACGGCGAGATCATGTCGAGCACCGTCGACTTCCAAACATTCTGGAAGAACGTCGCAGGTGAATTTGCTTCCAATGAGCTAGTGATTTTCGACACAAGTTAGTACCCAAGTCTCTAGTCGCACCACAGGCGTTCTGTTAACCAAATGATGAACAGACAACGAGTACCACGACATGGACCAAGACCTCGTCCTCAAGCTCAACCAGGCAGCCATTAACGGCATCCGCGAAGCGGGGGCAACAAGCCAATATATCTTCGTTGAGGGCAATTCTTGGACCGGCGCGTGGACCTGGGTGGACGTGAACGATAACATGAAGGACCTAACCGACCCTCAAGACAAGATCGTCTACGAGATGCACCAGTACCTCGACTCGGACGGATCAGGCAAGAGCGAGACATGTGTGTCGACGACGATTGGGAAAGAGCGCGTGACGAAGGCGACACAGTGGCTGAAGGATAATAAGAAGGTTGGGGTTATTGGCGAGTTTGCTGGCGGTGTGAATGATAACTGCAAGGCGGCGATTACAGGCATGCTTGACTATATGGGAGACAACTCGGATGTCTGGCGCGGAGCATTGTGGTGGGCTGCCGGACCTTGGTGGGCGGACTATATCTTTAGTATTGAGCCTCCCAATGGGGTAGCCTACACGGGTATGTTGTCGACGCTTGAGCCATATTTGCAGTGAACCCTCTCGATTGAGGGGAATATGAATACATACTCCGTACATAGTCCATATGTACATGCTAGCTAGCATGTGAGTTATGAAGTTCGGTTTCTGCAATATTTGGGAAATTTTCTTTTCCTGATGAACGCATGGTCTTCCTAAATGTGTAAAGGAAAAAGTCTAAAATTTCAAATAATGATTGTGCATGTACATAGCTCATGTACTCTGTGTCTGTTGTGGCGATACATGAGAGGTGTTGTCGATCAGCGCACGGTTTTGCCTAAAAAGTTCCCGGAACATTTAAGCTGCGCAACAGTTAGGTTCGTCAGAGCGGGGATGTATCCCAGATTTGAAAGAAGTTTATCTAAAAATAATAAATATAGAACAGGCATCAGTATTAGTGGATTTTGCCCTGCGTTGTTGTACAGAGTACTCCGTAGAGACAGCGGAGTGGAATGGTACAGGAAGGGATACGATAATGCCAAGAGAAAAATAGAGGAGCCTGGCAGCTTACGCAGTCTTGAGGCGGAGAGGGAAAATTTGAAAATCCACAGGGCTGATCGGGGTAGAAAGAGTGACGCCCATTGGACGATTGCCTGTTTTGGCCACTGGAATGATGATCCTGGGAACATGGATACAGATGTCGATTGAATTTCGTATGTACACTATATCTGCGTAATTTAGGGGTGAGAGGGTAGAATGTGCTTATGATATTTAGGAGAATGTGATCGGTGTAGACGAAGTTACATATTATATCTCCAAATGGTACATATGTAGCTCTGATCTGACAGTATTGACAGTATTGGTTGTATTGTGTGGATGTTAGGGATAAACAGATGAAGGATCATGCTATACCTAAATAGGACTAGCCCAAGCCACAAATAGAAGCAAACGTGGCCCTGGCGAAGTGACCGTTTGGCCTCTGATTGGTCCGCTGATCCTGCGCCTCCTTCCATGGGAGGCTGGAGTTTCTTTTTAGTGTGAGGCTGTGCGTTCCCAAGGTTGTACGTTGTTTACTCTACTGATCAACGCCTTTATATTCAAGTGTTTCCCCCATCTCATCTCTCCACTTCTCATCCATCTTTCACCTATTTATCTATATTCCTATCATTCCCATCAATACACATTATTCATTATGGGAAAAGCCGGTCGCGTTGCGTGTATCTTCACGCCCTATGTCTTGACCATTGCATCATTAATCTGCATCATTATGGTGGGATTGGGTTGCACAAAAGCCAGTTCTGATACCTTGAACAATTTATACTTCATTCGGGTAAGTCATCAAAGATTAAGTGTGATTATTGCACCTGCTAATGCCAATAATCTATAGCTCGACCTCTCAAACATAAGTCAAGGATCGGGGGTTACATCAGAAATCACAGACCGTCTAGCGGATGCTGGCATCACTTCCGTCACCGCAGAAGAGGTCTCGGCGACCATCAAAACCTTCCAGGATGATGGCAACATCGCTGATTTCTACGACATTGGTCTCTGGGGCTACTGCGAGGGAAATTCCACCAACGGCAAGGATACCGTCTCCACCTGCACAGACCCCAAGGCCCAGTTCTACTTCAATCCGTCTTCAATCCTTGGCATGAGCGAGGCCCAACTTGAGAAGGAGCTTGGCAGCGGCATGAAGAAGACCATGAATGTTTACAAGGCTGTCTCCAAGTGGATGTTCATTGCCTACCTAGTCGCCTTTATTGCCACCTGCGCCCAAGTCCTGCTTGGTATCTTCGCTATCTTCAGTCGCTGGGGCAGTTGCGTCACCACCATTGTCTCGATTGTTTCGTTCCTCTTCACCCTTGGCGCATCCCTTACCTCGACCATCATGTTCTCCATCGCAAAGGGCTCCCTCGGCACAGCCCTCAAGGTCTATGGTGTTGAGGTAGACCTGGGTAAGAACATCTACGTCGCCACTTGGCTTGCAGTCGCGTTCTCACTGGCAGCCACCTTCTTCTGGATGTTCAGCACCTGCTGCTGCTCCGGCCGCTCACCCTACGGCCACAAGGATCGCCACAACACCCGCGGCAGTATCACTGCAGAGAAGGCTCCCTACACTTATGAGCCCATCGGTGCCGCCCACCCTCCTTTCGGTTCTCAGCAGCCCCAGCACGGTTACTCTACCTCCTACCCTCCTCCCCCCCACCACAATGATATCCCCATGACCCACCACAACCAGCAGTCAAGCGCCTACGAGCCCTTCCGTCATGCGTAAAAGGATTGCGGGCTTTTAATGACTGTACACCCCTTCTGAAGCGATTTTAGATTGGCTATACCAAGGCGTTCTCGTGGTTTTTTGCATGCTTTTAACGTCCATGTCCTTTCCCTGAATTTTTGATGACCATCACGCCATTTATTTTGCATAGCGAGACTATTGTCTCTATGGGAGGGAACATTTGCATTTTTGTATATTTCTCTGATCCTTCACGGAGGAATCATTAGTATCTATCTGCCTGCAAATTGGTTCAAATACAAAACCCATCTATAAATAACATTTGGCTCTTCGATCCGATTTAGGTGATTCCCAAACCTCTCGATCGCCCAGCCTAATTTGCTCCTACCGACCTAGTTTATATGCATATACATCGTAGTATGTAAATAGTTCCTCAAACCTCGCTAACCCATCCCACCTGGGGGGCGAGGCTTTTGGGGGCCAAAGCTGGGATCTGCAGCGAAGCTCGAGCCTGGTTGCTTGCTGCCGATCTCTCCTTCGCGATGTTTGATGGAGTCAGAGGCGTTGGGGCCCCACGGGGAATTTGGGAATAAGAAATCCGATTGGGGGATTTGTTTGCTTTTCACATTTATGAAACACGCTATGATTAAGATTTAGTGAATTACCATGGTTGCTACGGAGTATTGCCACTAGCACTAATGATAGAAAAAGGGGTTTCAGGCTTTGGGTCTTCTGTCCAGGGGCTAGCTGGTTAAAAGTTAATGTACAATAATAATAATGATACAAGGTAACACGAATCTGAATCTGAAAAATAGGACACTACATTAGCCCGTATTTGTTCCTCTTCCTCGACCAAGCATGAGATGAAATGGTATCTGCTGTTATGCGTACTAGCCGTCGCGATGAGCCAGTTGCTGGCCCGTAGAAAATAGAAATACAATTGTTGAATGGAAGGTGCCTGAACAATTACAATCGCTAGGGACCGGAGTTCTTCTCTTGGTTGAAGGTGGGCCGACGGATGACCCCTTTCTCATCGACTTGAACCCTAGCTCCACCGCGACGACGAAGTTCCTGAAGAACATTCTGGTCTTGGCGCGCCCAGCGCTTGAACGGCGTGTCGGGGTCATCGGACCACACAGGACCTGTCGGGAAGATGTTCCGAAGAGATCGGAACCAGGGTCTTCTTTGCCGTGGCCGCGCGACCTCGGCATTATTCAGATAACCCAAGGGCGCGGGCGGCGCGGGAGAGGCCGAGAGACGGCGATCGTCAGCCTCATCGCCAAGTTCAATGCTGGCAGTTTCATGGTGGGTATCGTCTGCTTCCTGGGTCTCGTCAATTTCGTCCGTGCCGGTTTCGACCATGTCAACGTCGTTCGGATCAGGCGCAATGCGAATGTCATCTGCGTCGTATTGGCTTGCATCGACCATTTCTTCATCATCGTTGAAAAGCACAGGCTTTTGATCATTGCTGCTCGTGATAATTTGGGAGCCGATCGGTTCATTGAAAGAATCATCTGCCTCAATTTTAAGCTCCACCGAATCCGAGCCGGTGCCAGCAGACGGGGATGGCGAGGACTGCGTTGCAGCAGGCATGTGGACATCCGGAACAGGAACATCGCCAAAGGACCGGGCATGGAGGTTTGAAAGCTTTTCCACAAGGCTGGCTGTGAAAGAAGTGTTGGCCACTTTGCTTTGCGCCGCTTTATCTTGGGTTACCTCGCCTTGGATTGTCACTTGAGATGGAACTGGTGGGTTTCCTAGCTCGGCACGGGTAGGCGGGAAAGACTGAGACGCGACTATGTCAACTCCGTGGGCTGTTAGGCTTCTCTTTTTGTGCTTGGGGCGTGAGAATTTCGAGCAAAAGAAATCTTCGTAATCCAGTGTCTTCGACTCTTGATATGTGCGCTCTGAAAAATAGCGTGGATACTCCTCCAGATGTTGGATGACGAAGTCATCCCATAAGTACGATCGTTGCAGTTGGCCCTTTTGCCGCATTGTCTGGAGTTTCGAGCACATCTCAGTGAAGTGAGCGAAATCACCAGAATACGGCGAATAATCATTGCAAAACTTTTCATAGATTGTCTGTGCTTCAGCGTACTTGTCAGACTTGCCGATAAAGCCTTGTCGCCGTGCTACTAACTCGGAATCTGGGCTGTGAGTTGCTTTTTGGCCAGTATCGGCACTCTCGCAGCGCGGATGGCGTGAACGTTTGGATGGTGATTCTCCGTGAGCACTGACCCAGGTGGTCGATTCCATAGGGCATAATTCCGGCAACTGCGAGGCTCCGTCGAAGGAAAATGGTCCTCTTGAAGAATCTTGGCTTGGTTCATGAAGTTGAGACCTGGGCAGCGAGTGACGCCTGGCATAAGGAAAAGACGATGGGTCGTCCGAGTGGTCTAAATGGAAGATAGACGACCCACGTTGTCGTTGAGCAGGTCTCGATGAATCAAGCACAACGTCTGAGGATGACTGGACCGTCGCCTGTGATGGTGCATGCACGCTGCTGGTTTGAGTCTGAGTACCTAGGACATCCACTCGTAGTGATTCGTCTGCCAATATCGGCAAAGATAGATTTGGTGCCTCCTGGGATAGGTCACTGTGCCCGTGACTGTCTTGCGAGCGGTAGGTATTGAGAATTCGAGACGAGGGAGATGTCTTGGCAGCCTGAGAGTATGGCTGCTGAGAGCTCGGGGGCTGAAATCCGACTATCTGTTTGCTTTGCTTGTCGGGATTCAGATTTGTGGTATGGACTGCAGGTGTCTCCACCACTTGGATAGTCCCCCCTGCAAGTTTTGGAAGCGATGGCTCCGAGCTAGTAAGTTCCTGCTCAGGCTGACTGCTTAATGGAAGGCTTCCACCCAGAGCAAAAGGAACATATGTTTCCATCTCTGGCTCATCACTCTCATCGCCACTTGATCCATCACGCACTTCAGATCTGAACGTGGGATTTTCGGCGGGCAGTTCGTCATGACAGTGTCCCTGTATTACATGTTGTGGTTGGCCATTGGCCACGTCGAGCGGTTTTGAAGCGTTGTGCTTTGGAAATGGGTCATTTCCAAGATTATAGTCCAGAGACACTGGATTTCTCGGGTTTTTTGTTACTTCAGGAGACGGAGAACATTGCTGCTCTACTGTCTCGATGGCGCGCTTTGACCAGACAATATCCCCCGGCCCTGGCTGAGAAGGAGCTTTGGGAGATCTCTTCACCATGCCCTCGTTACCATCTTCTGTGAATTGATCACCGACATATTGAGTTCTGATTGGCGTAGGGATTCTTCTGGTAGGCCTTCGGTACATTTCGGGAGAAACTGTGTCCCGTGGAAGAACATCTCGGGCAGGTGTCCTAATGGGGGACGAAGCCCATGATATAGGAGGAGATGTATAGGCATCTTGCGGGGTCGGAGTAGGGGCATGCTCAGATACTTGTTCTTCTTCTGCTCCTTCAGCTTCTTCTTCTTCTTCTTCTTCTTCTTCTTCTTCTTCTTCTTCTTCTTCTTCTTCTTTTTCTTCTTCTCCCTCAGCCAAATGTTGTCGTTTGCGTGCAATGTTGTTCCATTGTGTCAAAAGATGAGGTGGAACATGGCATAGAGGTGCAGATACACCGGGCTCCTGCGGGATCCATTTGCGTCCTTCTTCCAAAAGTTCTGCTTGATCTTTTGGAATATCAACTTCGCTCAAAGGTATTCTTATCATTCCTTCCCATGGATTTGTTGCGGATGGGCATACAACGTCTTTTTTGGTGTTTACAATCTGCACCCTAGGAGATGACGGCACGGGCGTGTTTTGCACTTGCTCAGATTCAGTTGGGTCCGCCAGAATCACCTCTCCAGCATCGATACGCTGTCGCTTTTTGGAGGGTGACGTATTTGGGCTTTGCCGGCCCTGCGAGCCCAAGTCATGATCGTGACGTGCTTGTGATGGCGCATCTGCACTGCCACGATGCCTTTTCCTCGAAGCCTGCTGGTTGTCCCCCGTTCCAGCAGTATGGGCCCTGCCATGATCATCCGACTCATTTGGAGGTTGCGAAGCCTGGCGCCAACATTCCGCTATTAAGCTGTCCACGTCTTGTTCGAGATTGGGGTAAGACGGATTTTTGGTTGCAGATTTACTAGCCCGCGTCGCATCAACAGTGTTGCTGGAAAGTCTCCGGAATGAGGACTGTGCTCCGTTTAAGGGTCTATCGATGTCTTGTGGTGCCATTGACTTTCTTTTATTTGGTAAGGGAGAATGCCTGCTTTCACTTTCACCTAGAGATGGTCGGTGAGCCCCGAGAAGCTCTCTGGTGGCTGCGTCATTTGTTTGAATTTGATTAGAAGGCGCGAGCAACCCTAGAAGATCCGATGACTCGCCGAGGGAAACACGATTGGTCATCGGATTACCGTTCGGTGCGCCATGGCGCATATTAGACGGGGGTTGGGAGAAGAGCAACTGTGATACCGAATTGTTTTGAGAGTGATTGTCCTGATCACGCTGAGAAACAAACGAGTCGGCCAACCCAGCACTTGTTTGACCATTGGAGCCAGCGTGCCCTCGATTCTTCTGGATTTTCTCGCGTACCATAGTCATCAGGGTTCTGAGAGCCGGCGTCTTCTTGAGCTTTGGTCTCGGCACATCCCCTTTTGAGACTGCATTCGGGTGGATAGTAAAGCGTTTGACTTGAAGGTAGAAATCCGGGGTAGATGCTGAGTATGTAAAAATGAGCTTGACATCAGAAAGTTCGACTAGGTGCCTAGGGCCCCCTTTGATCGACGGTGGGCAGGGTGATGTTCCTCCCTGTGCGTCCGGCGAGTCATGTAAAATCATCGCATCGATCTGGTTCTTTGAGTCTGTAAATGTAGCGCAATGACTCTTCTCTCCTTGTCCCCACTAACAGACAAAAGACATACAGTTAGCAACAATTCCTTTTTTCATGCATTTACATTCGCTATAGCTATCTTACCGATACAACAACGGCTGTCTTGAGTGCAGGCCTGCGGGCACTGAAGTTAAGGCATCCATCAATATCCTCCACCTGGACTTCATCTTGATTATTTTGGCCGAGGTAGAATGAGAGACATTGGTCGGCGAATGCGGCGATCCAGGGACTTACTGGATTCATTGTGCGAATCCAGCCTTGTAGTCAATGTGGTACACAGCGTATGGGTCATAGCTGGTAGGAGTAAGCAGTGGACATGGGATGTTCGTAGCCCTGGCGTTTGCGAGAAAAAAAAAAGAGAAGGTTGCACCGTACACCGTATCAAGATTCCACCACTCAACCGCGTCTTATCGATTGCGTCCAGGGCTGCCCACCTGGTGGAGACGCGCCTAGCTTACTCAGCACCACCACGTCATTCGTGCGGAGGGCCAAAGGCCCTGTTCTTTTTTTAAGAGTTCTTTGATCCCATCACTTTAACAGACGCCTTTACCGGACCCTCGATTCTCTTCCTTCTTCCACACTCGTCAAACCTGAGACCTTCCCGCAGTCCAGCCCCGAATGACCGGCTATCGACCGCGCCTTTATCCTTTGCGGAGATGATCTGAGACCTTTCTGCCTAACTTGGCCATGGATTCTCAGCAGTCCCCGGACTCACGCAGTCCATCTGTGTCTTCAAACTCGCTTCCTCTTGGGCGACCCGGATCACGCGACTCTATGGCCACGACTCAGACTGAACGAGAATCGATGAATGCAGCTTTGGATAGCTACCATAATGCAGCGTATCAGTCCGAGTCGCTCACTCTCTTCAACGAGTTCACTAGTCCGCCAGCTCCGGCTGCCACATCGGATGAGAAAGGACTGTCTGACGAATTGCAAGGTGGGCTAAGCGGTCTGTATAGTCGCTTTAGGACTTCCGTCGGGGGGGTGAGGGATATTGTCAGTGGTGGTGGAAAGTCCGCAGGCAAAAATGCGACAGAAACTCCTGCGGTCAAGAGCCCTATGTCTGAGCATTCGGTTGCAAAACCAGTCTCAGACCTGGCTACAAACTCCGCTGATTATCCGCCGTCACAGGCCAACTCGTCACAAGGATCAAGGCTCCACTCGCCTGTTGTTCCAGACTTCCACGCTCAAGATTCTGTACAACAATCAAACATTGGAAAGAGATCAAGAATATCCTCCAAAAGTGGCAGCATATCTTCCAAGGCCTCTGTCTCACCATCCCCTGGAATCAAGCCAAGTATCGCACCGTTAACGAAAGCCACTGGTAGCGCCGTCGTGGCAGATCTTGCAGTCACTCAGCTTTATGTGAACGTAATGGGAAAATCTGACCGCTCAAGAAGCAGCTCCATCAATGGCCCCTTCCAGGGAATCCATAATGCAGAATCGACAAGTATCGGCAGCAAGGAAGGCCCTATGGATCTTTCCATGAGCCAAACATCCTCTTCATTGAGTCAGAACCTTTCCAGTTCGCCGGTCCTTTCCGCAAAGATGCATGACAGCCATCATGAGGAATTTAACTCCAAAGACTCACTCTTCCCAGCGACCTATACTCCAGACAACCAGTCTCGGAACTCTGTCTCTACTCCAGATCAACAAAAGCTGCCCGAAAACCCCTCTCACTCAGCTGACGTGCAAAATCCCAAGCACTCTGAGCCAGCTCAGGATCATATATCTCAGCATCCGGGAGAAAGATCAAAATCACGAACATCTTTCCCTTCTGAAGAGCCGAAAGCTTCAGTTTCTGCGTCAAATAGTCTATCACAACTTTCCTCCCATGATGAAGTACCATACAATATTGAAAGACTCTCGAACAACATGGAGGCAACTATTCCTCGCGACAGCGCCAACGCCAATGAACCTCCAAAGGTTACAGCCCCCGGCAAGCCTAATGAAGAGTCGACGTCCTCAACCCGAGCAGCGCGACTGCCTGGCTATGTGATTTCGCGGGCTTCCACAGCCGAGACTACAACGACGGTGTCTTCATTGCCCCCTTTGAACACTGAATTCGATCGGGCTACTGGCCAATCTCTACAAGCCAGGCGCCAACCTCCCGCCGGGGCCGACGGTGTTTTGTCGCAGCTAAGGAGTAAACTGCTTAGCAGGGATTTTTGGATGCGGGACGAGAATGCCAAAGACTGCTTTCATTGCGGAGAACCTTTCACCACATTTCGCAGAAAACACCACTGTCGAACCTGTGGTCAAATCTTTGATTCGAAATGCACTCTGCTTATTTCAGGAACAAGGTTCGGACAACCTGGGAGTATTCGGGTTTGCAAACCCTGCGAGAAGATGATCAATGCGCACGACGATGATTCATCTGAATTCTCTGATAGCGAGCAGAGCCCCATAGTGGCCAATCCTCGGGTTTCCGAACTCAGCTGGACCAATACTGGGCGGGGATCTGCGGATGACGATGATTCATCTTCGGTTGTATCTCAATCGATCGATCACGTTCTGAGAACCCCGACGATGGCCATACCGGCCACACGACGTGCTGGAGAGGGACATAACCGCCGCTCGGCAGTTCTTGAAATTGATTCTGACCGCCCTTTAGCACGACCTACCTCTTCGCGCTCTCTGCGGTCCTCGCTGGGTGGCAGACCACACTCCATCAGCCACAAACGTCACCACTCTCGTCAGCAATATATTCGGGGCTTCAAGCCATATCATGAAGATCGAGCCCCCTTCCAACGCCGACATGCAGATGACATAGACGCTGAATCTCGACTCCCCGCATTTCATAAAGACAACATCATTGATCCTGACCTTGCTCAGTATCTCTCAGATGACGCATCCAGTGGAGATGAGCAACCTAGTCTCTTGTCTGCAGTCTCTGAGGGCGCTCTGTCCAAGAGTGGAGGTGAAAATGAGAGGGCATCCTTTGGTGGGCTTCTCGCTGCCATGAAAAAGGGCAGATCTGCTTTTGGAGACCGAAATACCCCTAGTATGAATCGAGACGCAGATGAAGCCAGTATAACCAGTTCAAGAGCTGTTAATCTCCCTCGTTTATCACGTCGTCGAAACTTGAGCGTCACAAGCAGTTATCAACCGCGCCATTCGCCCAGGACATCAAAGGACAATATGCTCCCTCATGACAGCTCGGTACCAGTCACATCTTTACCCGAGAGTGTAAAGCAGGGCGGGTTCAAGATGACTCGGAGTTCATCAATGAGGGGCACTGATGCGCCACCGGTGGAATTGAATAAAGCGAGTCTGGAACACGTACAAAAGCTTCTCCATCAACTGCTTGTAGAATCTGCTGTGCCAAATGGCGACAGCTGGGAAAATGCCTTGATGCCAATACTCATGAAAGCAGCAGACGAGGTCAATCCAGATGTCCAAAACGGAGATGATATGGACATTCGGCACTACGTCAAGTTGAAGAAGATTCCAGGCGGGCGGCCTGGTGACACTTCCTATGTATCGGGACTCGTTTTCACCAAAAATTTGGCCCTGAAAGGCATGTCACGAAACATTTTGCGTCCAAACATCCTGATCATCACCTTTCCTCTCGAATATGCTCGTCAACAACACCATTTCATGAGTCTCGAACCTGTCATTCGACAAGAGCGGGAGTTTCTAGAGAACTTGGTCAGTCGGATCGCAGCATTGCGTCCAAACCTGCTGTTGGTCGAGAAAACTGTTTCTGGCCTGGCTCTTGGCCTCCTCGAGCAAGCTGGAATTGCTACCGCATACAACGTGAAGCCATCTGTCCTCGAGGCTGTGTCGAGATGTACACAGACTAGGATTATGACATCTATGGACAAACTCTTGACGACCACATTGCATAGTGAATGCAGCAGTTTCGACGTGAAAACCTATGTTCATAATGGTCGAAAGAAAACATATATGTACATTTCCGGCTGTCCAAAAGAGCTCGGGTGTACCATTATCCTGCGCGGAGGAGATGATCAAGTCCTCAGGAATGTTAAAAAGATCGCTGAGTTCATGATCTACGTCGTGTACAATCTCCGCCTAGAAACAAATCTTATGCGGGATGAATTCGGGAAGATATCAACGTCACCGACAGAAGAATCAACAATTGTACCCGACAGAGACAAGAAATTCAATCCGCGGATTATCACCCATGAAGGCGACGACGCACATCTAGTCGACCCATCCATTGTTCAACAAGGAACAAATGAGAAACTTGGTTGTATCTCTGATAGCCAAATCCTCGTTGATGCCGATGCTGCAAAAGTCCCAGACGACATCCCAATGCCGACATACTATAACGATATGGTTCATGATTACGAGACAAAGATTCTGTCGGCCTCTCCTTTCGTGAAATTTGAGCCTCCGTATCTCCTGACACGTGCGCGCGAAATGGAACGCAGACTTTCGTATTTGAAATCACTTCGTGACCAAGACCGCAACTCTGCTCAGATCACCGATGAAAAGGTCAAACCGCAGAAATTTGTCCTCATTACTCCAGAAATGGTCCATCAGTCGCCGCAAGATGCGCCAGCAAAAGTCAAGGAAGTATTGCATGCTGCCCATGAAGCCGAGTACGATCGGGCACTTTATCACCATCAAACGCAAAAACGCCAGTGGGAAGCCTATGTGGCGGGGAATTCCAACATGTTTGACCCTTATGCACATCAGAATCTGGTCGTTCTCTACAGTGTTGTGTGCACAACAACATCAGTCCCCTGCTCAGGGCCAGATACCTTTGCCCTGGAATTCTACAATGAGCATGGAGATGACACGATCTTCGAGTCGGACCTCACACTCGGGCAGTATGTCGAGGACCTTTGTCTCTCAGCAAATTCCGTATGCACCGTCAACGGCTGCGAGAAGCGCATGTTTGAACACCACCGCCAGTACGTACACGGCGAGGCTCAGATCAGCATACTGGTCCAGCCTTATCCTTGCAAGCTCCGTGGACTCCACAATGCCGTGCTGATGTGGAGCTGTTGCAAAATTTGCGGCAACGAAACCCAGGTCCTGCCTATGTCGCCGAGCACATGGAGATATTCTTTCGGAAAATACTTGGAGCTCTGTTTCTGGGGCAGACACTTGCTTGCTCGTACTGGAGGTTGCTCCCATGATTTGCGGCGGGATTACCTCCACTATTTTGGCTACAGGGATCTTGCTTTGCGAGTCCAATATGATCCTATTCGTCTTCTCGAGATTATCGTTCCACGGCCTCGTGTCACTTGGAAGGTGGACAATGATCTGAA